ATTTACAATAGACAAGAAATGGAAGCAACCTAAGTGTCTATCAGTAGATGAATGGATAAAGAAGATGTGGTACATATACACAATAGAATATTATTCAGCCATAAGAAGAAAACAAATCCTACCATTTGCAACAACATGGGTGGAGCTAGAGGGTATTATGCTCAGTGAAATAAGCCAGGCGGAGAAAGACAAGTATCAAATGATCTCACTCATCTGTGGAGTCTAAGAACAAGGAAAAAAACTGAAGGAGCAAAACAGCAGCAGAATCACAGAACCCAAGAATGGACTAACAGTTACCAAAGGGAAAGGGACTGGGGAGGATATGTGGGAAGGCAGGGTTAAGGGGGGGATGAGGAAGAAAGGGGGCATTATGATTAGCATGTATTATGTGGGGGAGGGGGCATGGGGAGGGCTGTACAACACAGAGAAGACAAGTAGTGATTCTACAGCATCCTACGCTGATGGTCAGTGACTATAATCGAGTATGTGGGGGCGACTTGGTGATGGGGGGAGTCTAGTAAACATAATATTCCTCATGTAATTGTAGATTAATGATACCAAAATTTAAAAAAACAGGTTGTAAACAAACTACCTATTTCCTAGAAACAGATCCTTTCAGTTCTGTTTTGCTTCTTATATTATCCATATGATCATGAGTGTTTGATTCTTATATGTATAATTCTATATGTAAGATCTATTATTTTTATTTTTATGATCCTCCTCCACTTTTCTCATACTTTCTCCTTGCTCTTGAGTAAGATAAACTACTGATTCCTTGTCCTGTCTAGATCCTCTAGCTTCTAGATCTTTGGTTTATAACAATGATATCTTTGTAGCTCTTTATGCATCATCGCTCCCTCTTGATCATCCTTTTCCCCTATCAACCTTCATATCCATGTCAAAACTGTTTCCTCTTCTCTTATTCTTAAATTTATGACCTCTCTCTGAACTATATTCAAAACCAGGGTTTTTGAGCTTGGCATTGTCTGTTTGTTTTTTTTACTTTGCTCTTAGGGATTAGAAGTGAAAAGTAGTTGACAAGGAGATACAGTGCTAGATAAGTGCTAAAGCTGTGTTCAAGAAAGAAATGTGTCCCTTCTATTTCCTCCTTGACTAAGACTAGACTGGGAACTTTTTTCCACAGAGGGCTTCATTTAAGTAAAAATTCATTTAATTTAGTTATTTTTGAAAGGTGGCTCATATATCAAAAATTGTCACTTGTTTGTTTAAAATTTTTTAAAAATGGTGGGGAGGAGAGAAAAGTGGAAACAGTAAGAAAAATGATAGATTCTACAGTATAGGCAGAAAGTTTCATCTTTTTCCCTTAAATAGGCAGAAAAAGGAGATAGAGAAACTGATGTAGACTTCGGTGATATTCATGAATATAATACCTTATATTCATTAAGCATTATGTGCCTTGCTTTGTGCTAAGCACTAACATTGGTTATTCTCATTGAATTTGCACAACTCCCCAGTGAGATGTGGATTTATTACTCCCACTTTACAGCTGACAGAACAGGCTTAAAGGCCCTAAATAACTTTCCCAAGACCACTCAATTTGTAACAGCTCCAATCTGACTTTGAAGTCCACACTCTCAACAGCTCTGCCTCTCTAGGTGGGTAGGAAAGGTGTTTGTGGGTGAGATTGATACTTGATACGCAGGAGTAAAATTCACGTTTCAGTTTATAAAATGCCTTAGAAATTCTCTGGCTTAACGGCGTCTCTGTCACTTTATAAGAAAGGAAAACTAAGATCCAAAGATGTTAAGTAATTTGAATCTAAACTAGTTAACCAAAAATATTCAGGCAGTGATTTCCTCCTTCCTTTGAAGGCAGAAATTACATAGTTTTTTTAAATTATATTTGACAAGTTTTTTCTATTTTATCAATTTATAAATTGTGATGATGTTGTCATGTATATTGTCAATACAAGTACCCATACTCTCTACAGCACTAATTTATCAGGTTATTTTAGATAGGTTTTCATTTGGTCTTTTTATGTGATCCAACTGCCTATTTCTTATAAAATAAAAATTACCTAATGCCATTTGTTTATAATTTTTATGTAATATTTGGTAATTTACACATCTTACACATTAAAATAATTTATGGATTTAGTATATGCATTCTGTATTATTTATGTTTTATGAAATTATTATTTTAGAGACTGTTGAGTGAGATTAGGAGGAAGATTCAAGACTTAGAAAAGAAAGCTTTGACCAGATAATGTAGCAGAAGTTAATTGTAAGAGCAAGAAATATTCTTAATGGTGATTTAACTGTAGGAACAAATGGGCCTAAAGTATCAGTACTATACTAATACATACTTTGCTATTCTATACTGCAATTATATAAAGGAACTGTTGAATAATAACTAGTGTTGTTGACAGTGGACCAGTTACACACTTTTTAAAATAAATATCAAGATCTAAAAGAGGAAAGAATTTAGGCCAATTGTCCATGAGAAGATAGGTCAGGCTATACTGAGAAAGGGACACACCTTTAGTTAAAACTTTTATTCATATGCTGTGGATGATGATAGCTTTCAATAGAAACCCTTCCAGAATTTACCCATCCTGAAGTGTTTTTCTCCCAGTTTGGAGAAAAATTATTGATAAGATTATGGTTTCTTTCCTAGCAATCAGTCAATCTAATATATGATCTATATAAATAAATTGTAAAACCTATACATTGTATAATATAATAATACGTTAAAAAGTATTGTGATAAGTATAGACAGAAGGGTCAAATCTATTCAGTGGGAAACTGACTGGAAAGAACTTTCAGTTTTTCTCTTGAATGACCCTAGGACAATATAGACCTTAATTGCTATGAAAAATATGTCAGATATTGAGGATGCATGGGTGAATAAAAGCTGGCTCTGATTTTCAAGGAGCCTGAAATGTGTTAAAGAGATAAGAAAGTAAATAGACAGCTATAATTCAGTGTATAAAGTGCTATGGTAATGGTAAGTGCAGTATTCTATGCAATCACATAAAAGGCATGCCTAATACCAAAGAAAGGTGGGATCATTACTTTCCATGATATGAATCCTTAAGCACTTAGCATAGTGCTGAGTATATGGTAAGTATTCAAATATTTGATGAATCAGAATATACCTGATTTAAAACCAAACCAAACCAAAACAAAACAAAACATGAGCTTGAACTTAATTTTTGCCTGAAACAATGTTTTTAAAGTTCATACCAAAATTTTCTTCTTTATGAATATTTTTCATGTTACTCTAGTAATTTCAGTGATCATATAAATTAATCAGTAACAGCTAACTCTTGAATGTGCCTGGTATAAACAATACGTTGTCACTTTAGGAAGAGATGTGTCTCACAGTGCTAGACACATAGTAAGTGTTCAAAAATAGTGATTACTTAGTTTTTTTAAAGCTTCAGAATTAATTCAGTAATTTCTCTATTCCAACCACCAAACTCTCTAAAGGAATTTCTTATTCTTAATTGTTAATTGTGAATGACAAGAGAAAATGGGAAGTATTAATCTTTTGCAATAATATACACATATTAATGAGTAGGAACTCTGAGCAAGTAAAGAAAGTCATATCTTCAGCAAATCTGAGGAAAAAATGGGTTACAAACCTTACATAGTATGCTAGGGATGTTTTCGCTATGACTGGAATTAGAACTAATGCATATGAAAAATTAGAGGTCAGTGCTAATCTGTGGTAGTGACCATAAATACAATATGAGTTAATTGATTGATTCAGTAATTATTAGGCTTCACACTTATGATGCACCCTTTCCTAGGCCCAGAGATACAGAGATAAAAAATAGTCTAGGGAATGAAGCAAGAAAACACAGTCATGGTACAGTGTGATTCAATGCTAACAGAAACGGGTATAAAATACTGGTGATATACAAAGGAAAAGTAACTAACTGTGTAGAGGAAGGAAAAATTGGTATGGATTGTATTAGTCACATAGGCTTAATTTAAAAAAAAGAAAAAAGGAAAACAGGCAATGTAATCCCATTTTATTGTGACTATATCTTATTTGTGACCTAATACATTTTTTAGGAACTTATATTTTTCTATTTTGTGAAATGAGATTATAAACCCCTTAATGCTATTTATAAATCGTGCCATAGTTGAGCATTCCAAGAGTTCCTCTTGTTGTCGTGTAGTGTGCCAGTTCTAAACTATATTTGGGTTTAAATCAGTGAGTAAATAAATCGGTGGGTTTAAATCAGTGAGCAAATAATTGGTCTATTTATTGTGTAGATTTAACTAGTATAAGAATAATTAAAATACTTCAAACATACAGATTATAAAATTTCTCAAGTATTAGTTAGCTTTGATCAATTTAACAGTCCTTTTTCTTTGTTATTTATTAAGGGTCTACTGTATTTGTTGGTAACAGACCAGGGATTTCTTACTGAAGAAAAAGTTGTTTGGGAAAGCCTACACAATGTTGATGGTGATGGAAATTTCTGTGACTCAGAGTTTCATCTACGGCCTCCTTCAGATCCTGAAACTGTATACAGAGGACAACAAGATCAAATAGATCAGGTATTTGTTTTTTCTTATTCATTTTTTAAATGTTCATTGCTTTCAGTGTGAATTCGATTATCTAAAACTTTTGAACTGTAGATGTATTCATTAATATACTTGTGAAATTTTCCTGTCGCTTCCTAAATAGGTAAGTGATCATTCTACATGTGCAAGGTTAATTTTACATTTTGGTTCAGAAGGCCAGACTATATTGAAAGTCATGATAAAGAGTTTGAATTTTACTGTAATTATAATAGAGAAGATATGCTAAGTATTAAACATGGAAGCAAAGCCGATCTACTTTGCCTGTTTTTAAAGGTTGCTATGTAGAGAATGTATAGGAAGGACACAGGTGAGCAGAAAGTAGGAAGTCCAAACAAGAGGTGTTGGTGGCTTAGCATTAGTGGTAGAGATGAAGAGAAAAGCACATATTTAAGATATGTGCTCGCTAGTCAGAAAAACTGGAAAAGAGAGAATCTTGAAGAGAGCATGCCCTGGACTCAAACCTTAGAGTCCAAGGTAAGGAGAAGCTGACATAACAAGACCCGCACTCATGGGTACAGCTCTCATTTAGAACTGAGACAGATGAGAATTTTGCCATCTATATGTGTGCAGACCTGGAGCCACTGGTGTGTTTAATACTAGAAATGTAACAGTGATGTTATATCTTCCCTGATTGGGACAGAAATATGGTTATGTTAAATAGCACATGTTTCACTGCTAACAAGTAAGTGCATAGAGACTGTTCTCTTAGCCAATATTCATTGTGTAATTTTATTCTGGGACTATAACTAGGTCCTGGTGACAGAAAGATAAATCATTCAGTCCTGTCATCAAAGATTCTGCAGCTAAGCAGAGAAAGCCAATATTTAACCAACTAATACTGTATGTTAAGTTCTGTAATAGTAGTTTGTATAGTAAAAGCTGTGAGTGCATAGAAGACTTGATTCAAATAAATACTAATCTCTGCAGGACTTTAGGCTTTTCTTTGACAAACACTTGTAATAATCAACATACTCATTTTCTTTCAGAAGCTATACAGAGGCATTGTTTTTTAAATATTAAGCGTGTAGGATTTTTCTAACCACTGTAAGTAAAAAAACACTGGCAAAGAGGGAATGAAGGTAAAGCAACAGATTGCCACAGTAGTCCAGTTGTAAGGTGTTGAGAATGTACATAAGATAGTGTCTGTGGAAGTAGCAAGGAAGGAGTGGATTTAAGTTCATGGCACTTGGGAAAGAGCAGAGTTTGAAGCATTGAGGGGGAAAATTTGAAGGACGAATACTTGGTATCAATAAAATAGTCATGCTAGATAGATAGTCTAAGGTCTTCACAGGCAACAGCCTTTTACATATCCTCTGTAATTATTTAAAATTCTTTTATTTTGAAGGTAGATTGGGGGAGGTACACAGAGTAGCCAAGTTTCACTTAGCACTAATTCTTAATAAAAGTGGTTAATTAGATCATGTAACTTTTGACCAAAGATGTATCACTTTTTCTTATAGGAAATAATCTGGGCATGTGTTTAGGAGGAGGGAAGGGGTAGTTAAGTAACTGAATATGACTGTACGGCAGACAACTGTGTTAACTTTAAAAATCATGTCTTGCAAGTACCAAATGATTTCCCTCATTTGTGGAGTATAACAACAAAGCAAAACTGAAGGAACAAAACAGCAACAGACTCACAAATTCTAAGAAGGAATTGGCAGTTACCAAAGGGAGGTGGGTGGGGAGGGAGGGAAAAAGGGTTTAAGGCACATTATGATTAGCACACATAATGTGGAGGGGTCACAGGGAAGGCAGTGTAGCACAGAGAAGACATGTAGTGACTGTATAGCATCTTACTGCACTAATGCACAGTGACTGCAATGATGGGGGGACTTGATAATGGGCTGAATGTTGTAACCACAATGTTGCTCATGTGAAACCTCCATAAGACTGTGTATCAAAAGAATATTTAATAAATAATATTGGGGAGTTCTTATGATTTTTTTAAAATGGAAGACTAATGACGTTAGATGGAAAAGAAAACAGATTATGACAATTCAGGGGTTGAGAAATGTGTTTCCGTTTGTATATGAATGTAGAAAACTAGGTGGATATGTTAATTGTTAACCATATTATTTCTGATAAAGGATATAGTAATTTTAACTTTCTTATTCTTTTTTATTTTTTCTCAATTTTCTCTGGACATGTTTCTTATGTGAACAGAATAACCTTTTTTTTTAAAGCTTTCTTGAATACCCTATATACTGCTTCTAGAAAGAATTTCAAATGCATTCCATCCCAAATGCATTCCGCCCCCTCACGGGCCCAGGTGACACCTGCTCTTGGGTTCTTTGGCACAGTGATCACTTTAGCTATTAGGATATTCATGCCAAGATAAAACATTTTAAATTAGGTATTGACTCTGCAGTTATACTAGCATTTTAGCATCCATGGGTTTGAGGACATTGTCAGAAATTTGTAATAACCTTAATATATTTCTTATTTAGTGAAATTACTTTTCCTGAGGTTCTGAGGGCAAGATTTTTCAAATTTATTATTTTAAGTTCTTAATAGCTGCAAAGAACATAAACTAGTTTGAATAAAGTCTTTTCTGTCAATTAGAGGGCAGTAAGAGATATTACTGAAAAGAATGTTAAACTTCAGAACCAGACAGACACGGATTTGCTTTTTCTCCTCTGTCTCCCCTTACTGGTTGCAACACCAAGGACAGAGTCCTCCACCTCTCTTAGCCTTGTGCTCCCTATCTGTAAAACAGATGATAATGCTTAACTCCTAGGTTTGTGGTCAAGAACAAATATTAGCACTTAACCCAGTGTCTGACATGTACTAAATGTTCAACAAAAACTATCTCCTTTCCACTTGTCACTTTTCCTAGTTAATGTTTTAAGCACTGAAAATGTGACTATTAAGTGGGCTCCTATATTTTAAATCTCATTTCATTAATGTAAGAATTATACTCAAATTGTTCCTTTGATTTGGGTATATAAGAAAGCAAGATGCCCTTTAAGGTCTCATGAAACTTTAAATATTAAAGTCTCCATTAAAGTAAGTATAGCATTTCTATTTCCAGCTAAAATATTGACTACCCCAGGCTTAAAAGTTAAAACCTACCATGTTATGATTAGAGTCCAACAACTCTAAAAAAGTTGTTCTATTTTACAAAATATTCTTATTTCACACTCGTAGTCCTCCATATTTTTTTCCCATTGAAAATCTGTTCATTACAGTATTTAATGAGGTTTTAGAGAACTATTGTAGTTTACCAAGAGGTGTCACTTTCTTTAACATTTTCTAAACTTTAACACATTTGTTAAACATTTATTTCTTAAACTTGAGGCTTCAGGTAATGTAATCTTACATTTATTTGTTGTTTGAAATTCCATCTACTTAGAATAATGGATATATTAATTTTGTCTATTCAGAATGGTAGAAGCAATCACTCAGATACCATGTAACATAGCAAGTCTATGCACAAATACCTTCTTCTTCCATTAATGATTCCTTTCACTCTTATAGTTTTTTCTTTCTAGCTAACTATGATTAAGCACTTCAGAAACATTGAGGTAATATTTCACTATTTTTTCCTAAAGCAAAGCCAGCCAGCACAAGCCTCTCCATCAAGTGGAAGACAATCTGGGAATAATGAACGTAAACGAAAGGAACCTCGAGAAAAAGAGAAAGAGAAAGAAAAGGACAAAAATAGCTGTGTCATTTTGTAATAAGCATTGGATTCTTTGGGAACCATCTATCTATCTTGAGAAACAAAACAACAGGAGGAAAGGAAGAAAAACCGATAAATACCGTCTGTGCCTGATTTCCTAATGGATTTGTTCATGTTTTTCAGGGGAAAGGTTGTTACTTAGTCACAATCAGACTTTTACAAGTCACACAGTACACTTTATGAGCTGGAGTTTGATGTTACAAGTTGGAAATGCTGTGTGTTGTCATTCATGAAAAATACTGCACTTGTAGCCAAATAAGCAAATCACAGCAAATTTTGTGTCATAGTGACATTCATAACTCACATCAGTTAGTAAGCTATTTTATCTTCTGTTCTAACAATGAGTGGAAGTAGTTGATTTTGTCTGATTCCTTCCTGAAATCTAAATATTAGCACAGTAGTTTCTGAACTTAATTTTTACAATACTAAATTATGATCTAATCCACAAGAAACCATGGGATTAATAAAGGGGTTTAAAAAAAAAAGAAGAAACAAAAATAATAGGAATAAACAACTCTTAATGATATATTAGACTAGTTCAGCCCTTGAGCAGCTTTATGTTTCTTTAGGAATGTACATTTTAGGTATTATCTTGAGAACTGATAATGGAGTTAATCCAAATAATTAAATTTGGATTTAATTTAGATAGAAAAAAATATTTGTTTTTCTTTTCCAATAGCAAAAAAATTATGCAACACTAATATCGTATCAAAAACAGATACAGATGTTAATGACTTTGTAGTTTTGTGCAATTTTGAAGAATTTTGAAATCTTTAATATAGGTAACTTGTACCACAGTTACTATTTATTGACTGTGATAAGTAAGTGTAAGGAGGAAACCACAGTGGATCCTAGGCCTTGTAAATATAGGGATGTAGAAAAGCAGATAGTTCAGTGTCTACCTTTTTCTAGCATTACCTTGAACCTTAAAATTTAAATCATGTTTATTTGCTAGAAAATTAAGTATACTTATTAAAGCCAACAATAAAGCACATTTCTGAAAGGAAGTTAGAGATAATCTGAGTCTAGTGGAAAAGCATTAATAAAAATCTGTTTGAGAACAGTAAGAATTTGAGGAGTTTATGTAAAAGCAGATTTTTTTAACTTATGGGAACCAAATAAACTTATAACATCTTTAGTGTTTATAGGATTCAGAAAGATTATTTATTGAACTTTATTATGAAGCAACACATATTTTCCTGTATTTCTAGATATAGTTTGAAAAACTATCCTTAATAGTCCTTTTATATCCTTTATATTTAAAAGTTTGTTTTAGTCATTTTTGAAAAGACTGTTGCTGCTGCAAGTAGTTATGTGATTTACATTCTAAGCTCCAGTAGATTTGAAGAGCATCTTTATCTAACTTGTGCATCTGCTTGGAGAATGTTTTTGTGGTCTGGGGAGACAATAGACTACAAAAAAATGTGGTCTAGGTTTTTTAAGCTATGTCTTTAACATTCTCCATGATCCAAGACCAGTTATAGGATGAGTCTATATGTAAAAAGTAAAGTCTTATTTATGAAAGGAATTATTCTAAGGGAAAAATTAAAATCCAGGGTCAAGCTATATCTTCTATGTCCTTCTGTATTGCATGTCTGTTTATCTTATACCATTTGCTATTCCTTCAAATTTTCTATGTTAGCATGATAAATCATCAGAGAACCTGTTTGGGGTATAATACTTTGATACAAAATATTTCATGAGTTTCTTGATAATAACCCAGAATATGCATACATTGGTAAAGTAATTAAATGTACTACAAAATCATCTGTTGGCTCAAACAAGTTGATCTTAATCCAGGTTTACTCTTGATATCACTGCTGGTGGAGGGAGGAAACTCAAACCTCAGGGTTCGTTTTTCCCAGAACAGATAGTAGTGACAGTGCATTATATTTTAATATGAAAAACAAAACAATAAATCCCGAGAAGTTTTTAAAGCATGTTTGAGGCATATTTTTCCATAATTATTATCTATTTATTGCCCTTGAAAAATGTATGTATAGAAGTTACTCTTCTGTTACTTGTTACTATCTTCTTAATTTGTTCCAAAGATTATACTGCCACTCTGCATTCCCCCTGAAAGAAAAACAAACTCAGAACCAGCAGTGCTGCTATCAAATACATAGATACCAATGTATACTGATAAGAAATAACTAAAAAATGTAATGTGTTTATTAATTCAGCCTTTTTCTATTTAATATTTCCAAGTTAGCCTTTCTTACATTCCTGAAATTCAGTTTGATATACCAAGAGTAATAATGATAAAGTGTTCACTTTGATTACTGTGGGGAAAAAATTAAACATTGAATTCTATTTAAACAACTTCTCAGATATACTGGTTTCCCACCATTGAAGGTTATAAAGAATTTAGAGCTATCATGTCTTTGTTTTCTTATATTTTAGTTAAGGCAATGAATTACATATTCAGACATTTCATTGCTGGTTTGGGTACATTGGAATTTGATAATGCTATATTAACATCTTTTCTTCACAGTATTTTATAATACTTGAAAATTGTTATATGTACACTGCTAGCAGAAGTTGGAGCTTAAGCATTTTTGTTTTTAATATTTATAGGCTAGATTGGGGGAAATTTACATCACGCAATCACCATTAGAGCTAGCAAAAGAGTTACATGAATGAATGGATATGGTCACTGCACTTCCTTGTGCTTTCACGGCCTATTCCTTAAGGTTAGTGACCAGTCTTTGTTAACAATATGAACATTTTTCTCTGTGTCTAATCCCACTGAATCAATAGTGCTGTGATTTACAATAGGTTATCAACACTTACAAGTACATGTGTATGTGTGTGTGTGTGTTTGAAGCAAGGATCCTATCTAACTTATATTAGATTCTCAAAGGAATGTGGGAACTTTACCTCACATTTAAGAACAACTATTTTAAGAATACACACTAAGTAGCTGGAGGCAGCTAAAATGGACACTGGCTGCTTCCTATAATATGCTGGCCACTGTGCTTAGTTTAGGTAAAGTAACTTCTTCCATGTTTCAAGGCTCAGGTTAGCAGTTGAATGAGACATAGATCTATGGTTAGGATCATGCCTTGGAATATATCTTGTTTTATTGTCTCACGTTTCCAGTACTTGACTACTAATCCCACGTTATGTCTCAGTTCTTCCTCATGCCTCCTGATCTGCACTTAAGTAAGCAAGTCAGCATCAGAGATCAGTTGACTGAACCCAACATGAACCATTTCGTATTTGCGTAAATCCTTAACATTTTGTTTTCAGTGAATCCCAACTCAGTTCACTAAGAGAAGATCTCAAGAGGAAAAGGGACTAGAAGTCAAACAGATGTTTGAGGAAAGGACTGTTGGGGTCCCAATATTAATGTTGGCATATGAAGCAGATACTTGTAAAATGCTGCTGGAGAAAAAGCAAGGGCAAGAATTTCTAGAATTATCCTCAAACAGTATCACTTATTTAAAAATTTTCTTGAAAAGCAAAAAGCAAATTGATCACACTTCACTTAACTTTCCTATTCAATGTACCAATTATTTTTAAATAGGATGGAAAGCTTAGGGACTTTACCTATCACACAGTACTTTGGCATACATCTTTAAACTGTAATTATAAACTTACCAATGTTTGATAAAATAAGGTGGAGACATTAAAGATAGTATAAAATTTGTATTTTAAGGAGTGGAAATATGAAATTCTGAATCACTTTATGTCTAAATCCAGGCTTCTGTCTTTGAGGGCAAACTTTCTGTGCCTCAGTTTACTCTAAATATGTAAAGAATGTTCAATTTTTTAGTGCTTTGCACTTCTGAATAAAGGACATAGTAAAAGGCCAGAGTATTAAGTAATCATAAATACTACACATCTTTTGTTCTTGAATGTGCATATTTTTTTTGGGCAATGACAGTATTTCTTTAGTTTTTTTAATGGTATCAACATTTGTAGAATTGTCTTGTCTTTGAGTATGTCATAATCTCAACAGTGTCAACAATTCCTAAATTGTATTTTACAGTTGATTTTGTGTTCTGTTGACTGTGCAGTCAAAATCAAGAGCACTTTTGAACTATAAAAGCATTAGAAAATGATTTTTTTCCCAGTATCTTCCATATATCTAAATATATTATTTCTCTTTGCCTTTTCTTCCCTGGAACAAAGTATGGTGGTATCAGTTACCAATACATATGTGTAGACTTTTTGCATGGATGGAATTCATTTAGGTCCCTCAAATACTGTCATTTTTAGGTTTGTTTAAATTATTTGTTTGTTAACCAAGTGTAAATGTTACTTGATTATGTATAATTAAATTCCTTTTAGAAAGTTAATGAAAATTGACTCATCAGAATCAAGAGTTCTTAGGTTCCCTGGTAATGTAATGTATTTTTTTTCTTTTTAAATCAATGTTCAATACTTCTAGAGCTGTTGAGAAAACATAAAGAATTGAGGTTTCTCTTTAAAACAAACTAAAATTTTAAATTGGAGGCTTTCTGAACAAAATTAATTACAAAAACAGAGATAATGGAGTCTGAGGGATAAATTTTAGGACCCTCATAAGTTTAACATATTTTGAAGATATATCTTAATTTAATTCTCTTGCTTAACCCCTGTTTTGCTGTTACAGAGTTTAATAAGTTGTGATATACATACATTTTTACATGAAAGATTCTAGTTTCCAATTTCACTTTTTTCATCTCAGAAAAGTTAAACTCAAAAAATAGGGCAAAAGTCTTCAACTATTGCCTCAGGTTCAGCTTTGTCCTCTTGCCCTGAGAAAAGATGAGATTTACATTTGTTTGCTTATAAAATATTTTTTAGGGCGTAGTACTATCCCAGATTAAGGTTCGAAATACCATGGTAAAAACACAAAGCCTAAAGCTTCAGACCACAGATTTAAAGAACAAAAAACGGAATTATTATTGTATATTATATCCCTACTTCACCTAATAATTAATTTTAAGAGTTTCTTCAAATCACTTAATAATTTTTCATCATTAACTTGAAAAACTTTATATCCATCCTCACTGGAATGTCCACTCTGAGAGGGAGGGATAACTCATAAATTACCCACAGGGATAACTCATATGATACACAAAGCAAAATTCTTCTAAGGGTGATCCTGACTTCTCTGTCTCTAGTAGTTAACAGCTTTAAAGAGGAAGTCAGGAAACTGAAATGCCCATTTAAATTCCCAAATCAGTGACCTGTCCAAATGGGTATTGTAGCTGAAATACCCTACAGACTACTTTTAACTAAAGATATGTCCTGTGTGTCTCTCAATTTTATCAGGTTTTGCTGTTCTTTTTTCTATCTTAGTTAAATTCAATAACCATTTTTTCCCCAGAGTGCATAGGATATCTCAGCTTTGTGGATTTTTAAAGATGAGAATTTGAAAAGCTTCCAGTGGTTGTTGGTAGAAGGCTATCTTCCTCATTAAAATGACAACTATTATTATCACAGATCTGCAGAAGTAGGACAATATGGTAGAAAATTGACATTTAAGTGCTGCACAACAGTCAGCAAAAGGCATAATCTTCACTTGTGAAACTTCAGAGGAACCCTGAAAGTCATATCCTAAAGTTAGTGCATGTGAATCTTTTTCCTTGAATTGCGCAGAATAATTGGATTGTGGCACATATTTGGGGAGTAACAAATAAAATGGTATGATGACTGCATAGAAAGTGACCTTGAAATACAGCAAGAAGAAACAAGTACTCTTCTTTATTGTCAGACTCCACTTTATTGTCAGACTATTTGGGTCAGGAAGTTGCTATGATATATCACACAATATGTCAGGCCAAATTGTTTTATTGTCTCACGTTTCCAGTACTTGACTACTAATCCCACGTTATGTCTCAGTTCTTCCTCATGCCTCCTGATCTGCACTTAAGTAAGCAAGTCAGCATCAGAGATCAGTTGACTGAACCCAACATGAACCATTTCGTATTTGCATAAATCCTTAACATTTTGTTTTCAGTGAATCCCAACTCAGTTCACTAAGAGAAGATCTCAAGAGGAAAAGGGACTAGAAGTCAAACAGATGTTTGAGGAAAGGACTGTTGGGGTCCCAATATTAATGTTGGCATATGAAGCAGATACTTGTAAAATGCTGCTGGAGAAAAAGCAAGGGCAAGAATTTCTAGAATTATCCTCAAACAGTATCACTTATTTAAAAATTTTCTTGAAAAGCAAAAAGCAAATTGATCACACTTCACTTAACTTTCCTATTCAATGTACCAATTATTTTTAAATAGGATGGAAAGCTTAGGGACTTTACCTATCACACAGTACTTTGGCATACATCTTTAAACTGTAATTATAAACTTACCAATGTTTGATAAAATAAGGTGGAGACATTAAAGATAGTATAAAATTTGTATTTTAAGGAGTGGAAATATGAAATTCTGAATCACTTTATGTCTAAATCCAGGCTTCTGTCTTTGAGGGCAAACTTTCTGTGCCTCAGTTTACTCTAAATATGTAAAGAATGTTCAATTTTTTAGTGCTTTGCACTTCTGAATAAAGGACATAGTAAAAGGCCAGAGTATTAAGTAATCATAAATACTACACATCTTTTGTTCTTGAATGTGCATATTTTTTTTGGGCAATGACAGTATTTCTTTAGTTTTTTTAATGGTATCAACATTTGCAGAATTGTCTTGTCTTTGAGTATGTCATAATCTCAACAGTGTCAACAATTCCTAAATTGTATTTTACAGTTGATTTTGTGTTCTGTTGACTGTGCAGTCAAAATCAAGAGCACTTTTGAACTATAAAAGCATTAGAAAATGATTTTTTTCCCAGTATCTTCCATATATCTAAATATATTATTTCTCTTTGCCTTTTCTTCCCTGGAACAAAGTATGGTGGTATCAGTTACCAATACATATGTGTAGACTTTTTGCATGGATGGAATTCATTTAGGTCTCTCAAATACTATCATTTTTAGGTTTGTTTAAATTATTTGTTTGTTAACCAAGTGTAAATGTTACTTGATTATGTATAATTAAATTCCTTTTAGAAAGTTAATGAAAATTGACTCATCAGAATCAAGAGTTCTTAGGTTCCCTGGTAATGTAATGTATTTTTTTTCTTTTTAAATCAATGTTCAATACTTCTAGAGCTGTTGAGAAAACATAAAGAATTGAGGTTTCTCTTTAAAACAAACTAAAATTTTAAATTGGGGGCTTTCTGAACAAAATTAATTACAAAAACAGAGATAATGGAGTCTGAGGGATAAATTTTAGGACCCTCATAAGTTTAACATATTTTGAAGATATATCTTAATTTAATTCTCTTGCTTAACCCCTGTTTTGCTGTTACAGAGTTTAGTAAGTTGTGATATACATACATTTTTACATGAAAGATTCTAGTTTCCAATTTCACTTTTTTCATCTCAGAAAAGTTAAACTCAAAAAATAGGGCAAAAGTCTTCAACTATTGCCTCAGGTTCAGCTTTGTCCTCTTGCCCTGAGAAAAGATGAGATTTACATTTGTTTGCTTATAAAATATTTTTTAGGGCGTAGTACTATCCCAGATTAAGGTTCGAAATACCATGGTAAAAACACAAAGCCTAAAGCTTCAGACCACAGATTTAAAGAACAAAAAACGGAATTATTATTGTATATTATATCCCTACTTCACCTAATAATTAATTTTAAGAGTTTTTTCAAGTCACTTAATAATTTTTCATCATTAACTTGAAAAACTTTATATCCATCCTCACTGGAATGTCCACTCTGAGAGGGAGGGATAACTCATAAATTACCCACAGGGATAACTCATATGATACACAAAGCAAAATTCTTCTAAGGGTGATCCTGACTTCTCTGTCTCTAGTAGTTAACAGCTTTAAAGAGGAAGTCAGGAAACTGAAATGCCCATTTAAATTCCCAAATCAGTGACCTGTCCAAATGGGTATTGTAGCTGAAATACCCTACAGACTACTTTTAACTAAAGATATGTCCTGTGTGTCTCTCAATTTTATCAGGTTTTGCTGTTCTTTTTTCTATCTTAGTTAAATTCAATAACCATTTTTTCCCCAGAGTGCATAGGATATCTCAGCTTTGTGGATTTTTAAAGATGAGAATTTGAAAAGCTTCCAGTGGTTGTTGGTAGAAGGCTATCTTCCTCATTAAAATGACAACTATTATTATCACAGATCTGCAGAAGTAGGACAATATGGTAGAAAATTGACATTTAAGTGCTGCACAACAGTCAGCAAAAGGCATAATCTTCACTTGTGAAACTTCAGAGGAACCCTGAAAGTCATATCCTAAAGTTAGTGCATGTGAATCTTTTTCCTTGAATTGCGCAGAATAATTGGATTGTGGCACATATTTGGGGAGTAACAAATAAAATGGTATGATGACTGCATAGAAAGTGACCTTGAAATACAGCAAGAAGAAACAAGTACTCTTCTTTATTGTCAGACTCCACTTTATTGTCAGACTATTTGGGTCAGGAAGTTGCTATGATATATCACACAATATGTCAGGCCAAGACTGGCCAATTGAAATAGTTTTCAGAGTTTAAACATTAAGTCTACTTATAAGTACCTATTGTTTTCTCCTCCTTGCCGACCTTAATGTCCATTCCACTTCTGAAATGATCTGTTTTGCTTTATCACCAGCTATAATTCCAGTTTAAGAGAAATAGCAACCCTAGAAGTTGATAGGAAAGAGCATTAAATACATTTTTTTAATAAAGACACCTAAAGGCATCTACCAAGCTCAGAATTGAGATGATTCTATGAAAGAAAATTGTTTTAAGTACTAATTACGCTAAAATTATTTAATTCTAAAATCTATGTCTTTAAAAAGTGTCAGAAGTTTGACTTTCAGATGATAGTCTTAAAAAAGGCTTATTAAACAAATGGAAAAGTATAAAGTATTTCTAACAATTATTCAGTATTATTCAACATTTAATTTCATGTTTGTTATTGTACCACAAGAATAGCGTCATTCTTGGATTAAAATGTTGAATTTTTTGTTAATATACTTAAAACTGTAACTAGTGATAACACCCTTACTATTTTTTATTATAGATTATATTTTATTTCAATAAACTTTGATATTTAGACCAGTCTTTCTGCTATGTATATTCATCTCATGAAGCTATTTCTTACAAATCTACGATGAATAAGGAAATGGGGAATTGACATACTGATTCACATTTACCTATGATTAGCTCTTAGGATATTTGAACCCACTCTTAATAAAGACAGAACTTTCCCCCCCAAAGGCAGTTAACAAAGAAACAATGAACTTTGTACACCATGCAACAGTTAACTACCTGGTCCCAATGACCGATTTGTTCTATCTGATACTCATGTCCTCTCGGAGGACTACATTGGAAGGAACTAAGAAAGGATCATTTTCTATTTACACCTAGCCAATCCTAATGTGAATTTTGTTTCTGTCCAACAATTTAATGTCTGAACCAGCTAATATCTGACGTTCTTCTGTGAAAACTTTCTTAGTTCCGAGCCTCTGGGCAGAGTTACTCATCCCAGAGTTCGCTGGCCGCCTCTCCCAGCGCTGCAGCTAGACTGTGAACCCTTTAAGGACAAGGATCATGTCTTGTCTTGATTTTTCTGGGCACATTACATCATCAGTGGCATTTTAAATGAATTCAAATATCTGTTTAGATGTTTTTTTTAAATGCCTGTATTGTATGGTTACTGCTTGCCTCTCCTTTAAGTAAGTTGGGTTATTGAATCAGTTTTCTCCTTGAGCATAAAACTTACACAGATAAAGGACACTAAAATCCTTCATTTTTTATGTCCCACCCCCCACAACCCTGCCATCTGATCTTCTCTGGGTATCATCCTGTGTCCTCCTGGAGCAAATAGAAGAACACCTGGGGAACAGCCGGGCTCTCCAAAACTGAGGTGAACAGGATTGTTCTTCCCCCAGTTCATACCCTGCTTATAAGGTCTCTTTCCTCACTATATATTATATGAAGTAGGGACCTTTTAATTTGTTGGGGCTCAGATTTGAAGCCAAGTAGTCTGACTCCACAGAGGCCCCAGCACTCACAGATATATCTGGAAGGGGACAGACTAAGTCTAAGCCAGGCCCGTGTTCCAATTCTGACTGGACTTGACACAAGTCACATCTGTCTTAAGCCCTGCAGCCATCTCCAAAATCAGGCATACTGGCCTTTTTTGTACTCTCTAGTTTTTAGAGCAACTTAATTCTGCACAGCCTATCTTCTCATCTCTAAAATGGAATAATTTCTACCTCTTAAAATTATTGTGAAGATTAAAGATAATATATATAAAGTGCCATACACATGGTAAGTACTCGATAAATTGTAACAGATTATTAATAACAGACTAGGGATAGCTTTTTTTTTCTTTAAACAAGCCAATAACTTTACATGAGAATAAACTTTAAGGAGATTTAAAAAGGCCACTTAAGCCTTATGGAAGTAAACATTTTTCTATTCTCTTCAATTATAATGCTGATCCTACCATAAGGGCTGAGC